AAAATAATTTGTGTTTTAATTTCAAAATATTACCAAATTTTATATAGACAAAAAAAATTTAAAATTTTATTATTATGAATGGTGAATTTGAAGATTTAAATCAAAAAATTATATGTAAATTTATATATATGTAAATTTATTTTAAGAACTACATAGAATTTTATAGAATAACAAGAAACAAGTTTGCTTGGTTTTCAAATTCTTACGGTAACTTAGACTTATAAGTTTATAAATTCAAATCCTTAACACAAAAATTATGAATTATATTTAATTAAAAAAAATCAAATGTACCAAAAACTATATTAAAAAATACATTTTACTTCTTTAAAAACTGGAAAATTTTTTTACCCAAATGAATAGCTGGAAAATCAAATTCAGAATTAAATTTTGAAATCCATGAAATACACAAAAAATTCTTATTAGCACACTTGCCATGAACTTTATCAGTAATAAAATTGGTGATTTAAAAATTTCTTACATGAGATCCCCTACTATAAATCCTAATTACCACGTACATGAAGGGCAAAAAATTACCCGGTTAATGAATATCATAAATCTTAAAATTAAATATTCGAAATAACATTTACTGTATTCCTTTTTTTCACTAATTTATTTATTGTAATAAAATTTTGCTATTTTAAATTTAAATGATATTTTAAAATTATACCATCATATTAAATATTCAAAAACACGTTAAACTTCTTATTTTGGCCTTTTTAAAACTCAAAATTAACTTAAATGTACAAATACATGTAATATTATTAAATTAAATACTACTCATACTGTTCACTTAATAATACATTTAACAAATGTATAACTATATGAGTACCACTAGCATAATGAAAAAAATAATAATAATACATAATTTGAAAATGTATAAGAATTTTCATTTTACATTTTATAATAGAATCTATTTGAAATTTCATTACAAAAATTTAATTTAAATATACGAAAAATATTAAGCCAAAATACAACAAAATGTGAAAATTCCTAAATTTACATATGAATATAATATGAGTTTCAGTTCAAGAGTGTGTTTATTATTCAATATTATTTAATTTTTGTGATTTGGAATACATTAAAATAAACTGGTTTTCTCTAGAGTGTTAATTATTTTGTTTATTTTTAATTTTTTTAATTAAAAATTAATTTAATATATATTTAAAATAAATTTGAAAATTTTAATTTTTAATGAAACAATATACTTTTAAATATTAATAAAAAAAAACATTTTGCTGAAATGCAGCCTCTTTATAACGAAATATTAAAATTTATGATTGGACTTTATTAAAAATTGGAGTGAGATCCAGTTTTCGGGCAAATAAAAATTCAAAATTATTCGGAAATTATAAAAATAATTTAATAAAGAATTATAAATCCGAATCCGAGGTAAAGCGGTTGTAAATTTTTCGATAAAAGAAATTGTATTTTTAATTTTACAAAATTTTTCGATAAATTTTTGTGCATTATCTTTTATAATATAATTTAATTAGTTATGTAATTTATGCTTGCACGTAAAATATCAAGTAAATCTTTTTTACAATCCCAAATATTAGGTCTAATAAATTTTCTAACCTATCAGGTTTGTAATCATCAACTACAATCGCATATTGATCAAAGCATAAAAAGAACTAATTTTCAATTTAGTCCAATTCTGGTAATACCGAAGTTTCTGGTGAGTTCTGATGATACCTAATGATAGCACTATTTAAACTGTAATTTATTCCAATTTGAATATTGAATCTGATTGTAAAAACCAATCGACAAGAATTGAATTGTATTATATTTTTTAATCTATCCTCTTTAAGCTTATAGTAGTTTAACAATTCATACAATATTTTACCATTTCTTACTTAAATATTAACTAATCAAAAAAATATACTGGAATATTTTAATTTCAATTTTCTTATTCAAAGTGCTATTCTAGGATTAAATTTAATAAAAATTTATTATGTAACTATTTAATATAGGTTAATGTTTAAATGTCAGTCGCTTATTAACTAATATAATTTTTTATGACTTTATAAACAATTTCTTGTATAAATACAATTCTCTACTAAAAATACTAAAAATATTTTATTTTCACTAGAAATTCTTTACTAAAAACTAAACACAATCTTTATTATTTCTTTCTATTTTTATAATAAAAATCCTAGAAGATCATGAGACAACCATTTTTTTTTTTAATTTACATTTCGTTTATGAATTATTTATAATGTACATTTTTTTTTCAATCCTTTTTTGCACTCCTTTAAACATGCACATTTTTATTTTGCAAAGAAAATACATTTATAAATACCTACATACAAACAAACAAAATAATAAAAATGTCAAACAAAAAATCATTTTCATTTCATATTAATGTTGGTTTTTAGTTTATTTTTTTTTTAACAATTATTTTATTAAAATTATACAATTTTAAAAATAAAAAAGAAAAAGTTTCAAAAGAGTTATCAAAGTGGAATATAATACACTCTCATAAAAAAAAAAAAAGTAGAAAAAATTAAATTTTTTTATATGACATTTTGCACATGTCCTTGGTTAAAAAACAAAATTTTTACACTCTCTTTATGAATTATTTTACGCCTAAAAAAAAAAAACATTCAAAAGTGAAACACTTGTGTGTGGTGTGAAAACAAAAAGTTTCACTATAACTTTCTGTATACTTTTTCTTTTTTTCTCATTTCTGTTCACATAAATCTAATTTTCAACTTTTATGCTTCCATAAGTGTTGAACCGTTTAACTCCCTATACTAGAGAAATCCGCAACAAGCAAAAATTCAACATAAACATGAAAAACAGTAGAAAGAAATAAAAATTAACTACTCCTTTTATGGTATGTGTCCTTTACAAAATATTAAAAACACGAGTTTTAATTTGAACTAATATGAATATACTTTGCAAATTTATATACGTAATGTATAAGTAGATATTCTTTGTATATATGATATGCATAAATATGTAAATTTAAACTAGTAATTAAGGTTTGTTAAAAAATTTTCAAAAACGCTCATATAATATCATCATTCATTATACTGGTAATTATACATTTACAACTAAAATGATTTAAGTCCAAAATAGTATGAATTGTATATTGTGTATAATTTTAAATTTACAAAGAAATTAAGTAAAACATTTTGCTTGAAATTGTATTCTTTTTTAATAAAATTTTTTATTATTTTAGTGCGACCTTCAGATATCATCGCAAATGATAATGTTTGTTCCAACTTTGTAACAGAATAGCCACAATTTTAAACATTAAAACGTTTCAGTTACTCATATTTTGCACAAATTTCGCATCAAATATGAAAGAAATGCTTTTTCTCTAAGACAGACATATAATTAGCTTTCTGATATAGAAAAAAGAATCTTGCATTTGACTTTTGTTTTAATACACCAACATTTTTTCTAAGCTCTAAAATTATCTAATTATTTTTAATTTTTAAACACAAACAAAATATTATGTATGCCGTAATATTATAACGCATAAAGTTGAATCCAATTATTGACGAATTAGTTTAAATAGATTCATAAGCAGAAATCTAAAATATCGCGTTGTTAGCATGATTATATTTTTATTTTTTTTTTAAATCAGTCAATTTTTGTAATATTAAATAACAACATTAAATTTAATTAATAAAGTAGCTATGTATTTAATTTAAATATAAAATCTAAAACGTGTTCCCAAAAATCTAACTCTAAGACCTAAAGTTTATGTATTTAGTATTCAAATTTAACAATTTTTTTCTCTTAGCAAGCAACTAATATTGACTACTTATATTAAGAACCCTCAATCTTTCCTCTAATTTCTTGATTTCCTTAAAACTTATTATATTTTATATTATGACAGTCCTATCATTTTTTTTTTGGTATATTTGAAAACCATCCAAAATTGTTCCGATTTTGTTCCGAAAGATACAAATACATATACTCCTCATTTACAAAAAAAAATATGTAAAGTAAACTAAAATAACATGATGTCTTTTATTTAAGTGAACATATTATTATTACAAAAAGGAAGTAAAAAAGGACTTACAAATTGATTTTACGTTTTTTCCTCTTTCTCCTCTTTATCTTATTATTTTTGTTTTACATCATTTTTACTTTTTTCATTCTTTTTCTTGTTTTTTATGTTATTGACCTAATATTCACAAACTTGTGTTTTCATTTTCGAAGACATAATGTTCAATTTAATATTACAGTTGCTTCTAAAAAAAGGATATACATGTATAAAAAGTGTGTTATATTTCACATAACATGAATGAACTTAAGTATATGTAAGTATAGATGAGTGTTAACATGCATGCATATATTGTATGCAATAATAAGAACAACTTTTATTAGATATATTTTTACATACATTAGACATGAATGTCAAAAAGTATTTGATAACGATGCATATGGGAGTTAATGACTTATTTTGAACTAATAGTTTTACTTATATAATATACATAATTTTATATATTATTGTATAAATTGTAAAATCTACATAAGGATCACAAAAGCATGAAGAAAGTAAAAAAAAAATGAAAATTTAAAAGTATTACAAATAAAAATTGTAAAGAATTCAAATGTAATTTTTGAATAGAACATAACAAAAAAAAAACCAAAAAAGAAAAAAATTCTTTTTTGGTGCTTAGACATCATGTATTCATTCTAGTAAATCATTCATGTTCAAATATTAATAATAATTAGAACACGAAAAGGAAAAAATGTAAACATTTAGAAATAGGTAAGAATTAATTCAATTGTATTTTAAATGGAACTTTTTTTTTAAATGATAGAAGTTACTGCAATATTAAATCTTAAAGTATGTACCACGATTTAAAATTTTGTAAGTAGTCTCATTTATACATTTTTCAACGATTATTTCTATGCCTTTATTTTTGATTCATAGGATTTTTGATTCATAGGAATACCTATCACTGCCAACCTAAAATAAAAAGACTTTATATTAATATTGCAAAATCAAGTTAGTTTTATTATTTTGTTATTAATTTACCGTTCATAAATGTCTTGATTTTAATCCGAAACACCCAAAAATTCTTCCTATGATTATGTCAACTATATTCAAATCATGCTACCTGATTAATACTCTCATCGACAACCTAAAATTTATAAATATTGTAAAATCTTAAAAATTTTTTAATTATTAAAGCATATTTCGTACAAATTATACAAAATACAAAACAATTACTTCATTATTTAACACCAAGTGTTCCGCGTCCTACATTCTTCGAACAGAAAATATTTAAAATGAAAATTAAATCTCAGATTTACAAAAAAAAACAAATGGTGTTTTTAAAAGAATGGTGCAACTCCATATCATTTTTACAATTTTCCAGTATTCATAGCATGCACATATAAAATAGAAGTCAAAAATCTGTCAAATATAATTGGCCATTAGAAAGATTACATCTGCATAATATTTTAGTAAAATTAAATTTTAATTTATTTTCAAAACACAAATATGCATATGTGTGTATGTATATATATGCGAAGACACTAAAACAATAGATATTGAATTTAAAAAAAAAATATATTTAAGGTTTTTAAGGTTTTTTTCGAAAAATTTAAATTTAATAAATATTTTACGATTTATTCCTTTATTTAAAACGACATTATTACATACATACATATATATATAGAGCATGGATACAATAAAATGACAAAAATCTGTTGATTTTTTAGTCCTTGAAATAAATTAAAAAATAAATATGTAAATATTTTTTTAATAACTAAATTAAAGTGTCATTCAATGTAATTTTTGACCTCAAAAATTCTTCTTCTGTAACATAAAAAATTTAATTTATTTTATTGCTTGGCCTAATATTGCAAAATTACTATTACAAAGGTTATTCACGTGAGACCGCAAAAGATGAATAGATTCTATTTGACTATATGTATACAAAATAATATAGTATTTTTAATTATACAAAATATAAGGCAATATTTTACAAAAAAAATGTAAGTCTGAAAAATTCTCATTAGACCAATTAAATCTTGACAAAAACTTCAATATTCCAAAAAGAAAATTGAAAACTTTTGCAAAAAATATTTTTTTTAATTTTATAATGGTATAAAATTACTTTTAAATTTTTTCTGATTTTTATTCAGCAGATCGTTATTAAAATCTTTAATATATGCTTTAGGTTTAGGGCATTGACTTTATTTAGGAATCTTGTATCATTTACTATATTATAAACTGCCTCGTATTTTTACATAACTAATAACTATTATTTTTACAAAATTGTAGTCCAAGATTTGTTGCAATCGAAATACTATCTAAAAAAAAGTGATTATGAATATTTAAATAAAATTATATGAACAATGTAATTATTAAAACATTTTAATTGAATTATTTCATTGAATTTTTTATTTCTTTTTTATTTATTTTTTAAAATTTTACCATCGACAAATGAGAAAAACAATAGAAATAAAAATATGTTTCGCATAATCAAATTTGACAATTTTTGTTACTTCCACAAAACAATTACGAAAATTTAATATTGTTTAAATAACAAAAATGATTTTTAAGAAAGAATTTAATAAGTTATTTATACTTAATTTTAATTTGTATTCAACAAATATACAATGATTTTTTTACCCAGTAAAACTATTATGTATATCTTTTTTATTTTACTATTATCCAGTAAAAGAAATTATGTATATTTGCAAAACACGATTTAATTTTAAATATTACAGAGAGTAAAATCTATGCAGAATACTAAAATAGATCATGAAGAATGATTTAAAAACTTGTTAAATTTAAATTTTTCCCTTTCCTTATTGCAAAACATTTTTTTAATAGTTTTCTTTTTTGGTAAATAAGAACAGATCTCAACACGTTTACATAAAAGGGAAAAACCACATGATAAAGACAAGAGAAAATTTTAAATAAAAAGTAAAATAAAATTTTTAAAACTGTTAAAAAATAAAAACGAATTCGAAAAAAAAAAAACAATTTGACAGCCCAAGAAAACTAATTTCAACTCTTTTGAGAAAAAAATCTCATTTATTTTTATTTCTTTGTATTGGTATTACTTTGTACAGTAACGATAATACTTTTAAAACATTCAAAATAGTTTTCCCGTTTATAAAACATTTATATTAAAAATTAATTATTATCTGCTTAATTGAAAAGAAAAACCCTAAGTAGTCTGATTTTAATTAGTACTTAGTAGCTCAATAGTCTGCTAACATATAAATGGACTCCCTAAATACATAACATTGAATCTGTCTTACAAAAAATACATAAAATTACGACTATCTAGACTATAATTCATAATTATTCAATCGAATTTTTTTTCTAACATTGCAGTATTCTAAATACAATCGAAAAGACAACCTTCATTTAACCAATAATTTAATTAAGTAAATTGCATAATGGAATTGTTAGTTTTCTATTTTACATAAAAATTCTGAAAAATTCTGAATCATACCTCCATATTATGGTAACTATTTTTGAATAACTTTCCCGATTATACGATCCTTATTTAAACAAACATTATACATTTATTCATTATTTCTACGTTGTAATTTTTATAAATTGCAAAATCTTATAATTTTATCCTTAGTATATATAAGTATCTTTCAAAACTTATTTTTTTTCTCGTTTTTTGTTAAACATTGTTCTATCTTTATAGAATAAAAGTTTTTAATTTCTACAATTTGAAATAAAGTTTTCCGACTAAAAAGTAGATAGCAGAACAAAATATAAAAAAAAATAAAAAATATTGGTTAAAAAAACCGCAAAGTCAAAAAACTTTTTTAACACATATTCATACAAATAGCTAATGTATAAATTGTGTTTGCTTAAAATATCTTATTGCTATAAGTACCATACATACAATTTAACTCCTTTTTTCTTGCTGCTTTTTCTTTTCGCCCCTGAATTCATTCACAATTTTAAACAAAAGTGGTAAGCCGATGATTAGTATTTGGAAAATGTATGTTTTTCACTTTTTTTAATTCTTTTTTTTCGGTTATTCTCTTTCCCAATTGTTTTTGCTTCTAAAATGAAAAAAAAAATTTCCAAAATGAAAAATTTGATTTATTATATAGAAAATAATGTATTTTATAATGGTTAAAGTATAGTTAGTGAAAAAAAAAATAATTGTAAAAGTGAGAAATTACTTGTCAAAATGGTGTTAAAGCTTTTGGTATTTTGTAAGAGCAAAATTCATTAATATAAATTGTTGATTGTTTTAAATTAGTAATAATATGCTAAAAATATTTTGAAATAAGTATCGTCATTGTTCTCTCATTAAAATTGTTATATTTGAAATTTCAATTTAAGCAATATCATTACGTTTGTATTAGGCTACGGTTGATTACATAAATTATTTGATTCCGTTTACACAAAACACATCTATGTAAATCACAAGAAACTAAACTTGGTAAAAAATTTCTTTTGTTCGCTTTTATTTAAATTTTTTTTAAATTTAGAAATGTTCCGAAATTAAAGTAGGTTTTCCTAAAACATAATAAACAAAATTTTTTCAGGGATGTTTTTCACTTTTTAATTTGCTAAACTTAGAACAGTCGAAATTACGAATAGAAATTTTTTGTTAAATTAAGGAAATTTTGTTAAATTTGGCGAATTTAAATAATATTACCTCTAAAGGATCATAGATGTAAATTTTTTTCAAAAAAATGAAAATAAGAATAAATATTAATATATTAAACTTCATCATATTTGAAAGCAAAATATTGAAAAATTTAATATTAATTTTCTTAATTAGATAATTTTGCTTAAATGGAAAGGTTACATGAAAATTTGTAAAATATTTAAAGACTAAAAATCTTTAACATAATAAAAAGTTGAAAATTCACTTAATTAATTTCTTAAATTTAATACGCTATTGTTCTTAAGCCAAAAAAACTCTAATACGACTGAGTTTTATATAAAATTACTTAAACAGCACAAAATAATGCAAGTAAATTATTATTTGGCATCTCTAAAAATAATTAAGCATAAAAATCAAAGTACGTAAATACAAAATTTGAGAAAAAGGCAAGTAATTATAGTATGACCAAAATAATTAATTAAAATCAAATTTAATGTATATGTACTCATCTAATAAAATTATGGTGTAGATAAAAAGCAATACTAAATTAAATTAATATTAACATTATATTCACATTATTGCTTATCGGAAAACATTTTAACCATTACCACAATTATAATTTAAATTTATAGATCATTACACATTATTTGACTATAAATGGTTAAACAATTCAAATAGAGAAATCATAAAAAATAAAAATTTCAAATCTTCCCTAGCTTATAAATTTTACATACATGTCATATTGTGTACATACTCATACATATGTACGTAAATATTTTTTTAAAAATATTTCAAATAATTTCAACAATACTATTATTATAATAAATATTAAAATTTTCGTACATATATTCCTCCTTCATTCAAAATATATACAATGTTATGAGCTTTGTGTATATCCTTAATATTATCGATATATTTTGTTACATTAACGTTATAACCACATGATGAAATTGATTTCCATAAAATTCTAAAATTTAAAATGATAACATTAAAAACAAATTTATGTATATATTCAAGTACATATATACTTGATATATTTATATTGCACATATTTATATAGCATACCCAATATATTTTTGAATTTGTTATAACTTTCTTCTTGTTATTCCACATTCTTGACGATTTAAGGAATTTAAATCAATAAATTGACATCAATAACTTCTAAATCATATAATATTTTCGTTTAATGTTTTTGTTTTCTTCTCCTTATACATACTTTTATAATAAAAATATAATTTAAACGCCTTTTGATTACACATTATTCATGAAAAGAAACATAAGAATTGTTTACACATTATCCTTCCTTAGAGGCAATTCAAATTCTTATTGTTTTTTTCATCCTCGTCATTGGCATAAAAAAGTTTTCTGCACTCAACAAGAAAAAAAAGAAATATTGTATAAAATGAGGTTAAAAAAAAAAGAACAGCAACAGAAACTTGGTAGAATAATAATAATTCAAGTGAAAAGCATCTTCCTACTACACTTACACGTTATCCTTGGTTCCGCTAACTAAAAAGAAAAATAACGACAAAAATTCAAATAAGAGAAAACAAGAAAAAAGAAAAAAAAAAGAAGAAAGGCAAATATACAAACCAACACACATTTTAGATGAATTCTATGTCTGCTTCAAACACCTTACTGTTGATTCAAATTCAATTTTGAATCATTTTTTTCTCTTTCTTCTTCTTTGCTTTTGCTTTCAAAATTCCCCTTAGGATGAAAAAACAAAAACTGAATTCATCATCATCATTCTCTGTTCACTTCAGTTCACTGGATTTCGACTTCCACCACCTCTGAATATACAAGTATATATGGGAGTAAAATAAAAACAACAAATCAATTTGGGAAAAAAAAATTTTTAAGTTCAGAAATAAATTTTAGGATATTCGTGCAAAAATATGCGACTATAATAAATTAAAAAAAAAAATGATTGTACAAGGAATATTAATATTATATTTCAGGATGGTACACAGTATAAAAAGGTGTAGGAGAGAAATATTTTAAAATATCACATCTTGTTTCATAAATCTCCAAATGCAACAATATCAATCACCTATGTTGTAAATTTGACAATCAAGCAAAATGGATCAGGTGATTGAAAAACTAAAAGAAGTTATAATATCGGGCATCTATTTTTAATAATTAATACATATTTGGAACTTTTAATTTAAAATTATTAGAAAACTAAAAGTTTTAAGAATGTTAAAAAATATTAATAACGACCACAGTGAAAAATACAACATGCAAAAATACAAAATTATGGTTGCCTGTTTAGAAATTTTAAAATATTCGTACCAAAATCTATAGGACAAAAAAATTTCTCTTCATCTATGATCACAACAGGATTAAGTATTTTACCATACCTTCTCTATTGACATTCGGAAACTACGACAGTATAAAAATCTCATAAGAATTTAATAACAATCAGCGTAGTGCAAAAACAAATACCCTAAGGAATTTTTTGTTAACGATATGAATATTAACGGTAATGTAACATAAGTTACACAAAGATTTGTTATAATTTCCACTATAATATAAAAAAATCTTATTTTGAATAGGCAATATTCACATACATACTTACATACATTCGTGTAATTTTTCAGATTACAATAAAAGTAATTGTTTCCTTATAAATTATAGCATTGTAACAAGAGTTTTTTAGAATTGTTATAGTAATAAATGGAGTACTGACATGAAGGTGATCATCTGAAATGTAAACGAGCTCGTACGATTATAAATGAATTTCTAAACTTAAAAATTTCATTTTATAATTAACACAATCATTTATTGACAATAAATTTTCATTGTTAATTAAATAACACAATGTGGTACAGCTTTACCTTAAAGAAGCAACACAACCTGGAGCCTGACAACACAAACAGATTGAAGAGCCATACCATCAAATTTATTTTTTTATTTTTTTTACGTGGATTTTAATTTTCAGTGTGTTGAAATAAATTATATATGTATAAATAACATTAATTTTGCATTTGTACATTTCGAGATTTTCAAACAGTCCATAAAGTCTCAAATATAAATTTACAAAAAGATGTTATCGAAGAATGCATTTAAATAATTTCCTAAGATTTCGAAATCGCTGAACTAGTATAAATATACACAATTCTATTCTATGGCTTCTATGGTGATTCTATGGCATATTTTAAAACTAAAGCACCTAGAACTTAAAATTACATTTAGTAAAATGGTGTGAATAAGCTATAGGAACTTCTTAACTGAATTGTTTATAAAAACCTAATAGCTGCAATTTTAATGTCATGTCTATAGTAGCCAAGTTTAATTTATTTATATTTTTTAATAATAAAACAAAATAGCAGCATATACTTAAAATCAAAGTGATTTTTTTTTTAATAAGCCCTATCAAGATTTCTTTAATTTTATATTTGCTTTCAAAAATCATCTTATAAACTCGATGAAAAGAAAACAAAAATAAAAAGAAAACTTTTTAAATTTATTAAAGGAAATACTTAAATTATTACCAAACAACCTCGACCTGACTTATATTAAACCTTACAACCTTGAAATTTCACTTACCCTAATTGCTAGTAATATTTCCATTGAAAAATACATAGATTTGATTTCTTCAAAAGAACTTGTGAAAAAAAAATCATAACGTTTATACACTTGAGCTAACACGGATACATATACACTATAAAATTCGATACAATATATAGAGAACAGATAATATAAGTTATTCAAGAAAAAAAGAAAAAAAAAATATTGTTTACCCTTAAGTCATTTTGCTTTCTTATTTTCTGATGATGATTGCGTAAAAAGGAATTTCCTTCTAATTTTATATTACATACATATATTTTTTTCCTTATAAATTTCTAAAGAATTGAGACAGATCTTTTTATTGGATGGAGAATGTCTATGATGAAAGCATTTAAATATATCCTTAAGATATACCGGCAATTTGTTCATTGAAAGAAAAGTAGTTGAGGAAGGTACTAATCAACATCCTAACAGAGAATTTATAAAACAATAAAATCTGCATAAGCGACAGTAGAAAATAAACAGTAAATTTATAATAACGTGTATATATGTAGTATAAAAGAGGTTTAAGACAAATTTACAAAAAATATAAAAGAAAATTTGTAATAAAAAAAAAAACAAACGATTACCCGACCATGGAATTTTAATATTTTTGTTCACCTGATGGTTAGTTACCTTACTGTGCTATTAAAAATTCACACCGTGTAAATATAAGAACATTAAAGAAATCAAATTAGAAATAAAAACTGAAAATAATTTATTTTCTTTTTTTTTTTGCAAAATGTTTTCTGATCATATTATTAAAGTTTAAAAAAATTTTTTCACTAACAAAAAAATTCTAGTGTTCTTGTTTTACTTCAATCGGAGTAATGAATCGGAATATTTTTCTAAATATTTTGCTTTTGGTATTTAAGTATTAAATTTAAAAAGAAAGATATACATATTCTATTCAAATTGAAAAAATTCATATGTGAACTAATGAATCCGTAAATATTGTGTAGTTTATGGGTGATTATAAATTATCTGAAAAAATTAATCCCATCCGTTTTCGGTATCTTCAAAAGTAACAAGTTATAATGATCTTTTTACAAATTTTTGATTTACAGTGAAATATACTTAATCACTTACAAAATTATTCTTTCAGAAGTGATTTTAGCAAAAACTTATACTTTAAATCAATAAGGAAATAAATAATTTTTAATTATTATTTGTAATTATTACATGTGTATCCCTTCATGCACGTAGCTTGCTGCAACTGACTGTGAACATAAAAACCAATAAAACGGAATCCAAAATATCTCCGATGAAGCACGTTTGACACTGAAAATCTGTTATCTAACGACATACCAGTTTAGGGATTGCTGATGATAAAAAAAAAATTTGCAATCCTTTCTTTTCATAGACTTGCTGTTATTCTAAGAGGATATGAAACACCATGATTATGCTGATAATAACTCAAATCTACAAGAAAAAAAAAAACAATACAAAAATTAAGATACTTTTTTTAATATTTTATTAAAACGTAAACACTAATCTTATTATTATCCTTTTCGAACTTCTTCAATTTTTACCATAAAAAAAAATTAAGTTTACATTTTTTTGAAGAAATAAAAGATGGAACAAATATACACACAAATCGAAGGGCAAGAGATGAACATATTATTTCTGTGGAGTGAAGTTACAAAAAAAAAACGTAAAAATAAAACTAAATACATTTTTAATGTAAAATAACTCGACTGTATTATGTTGGTAGACGATAAAAACAAAAATAAGATTTTGATTTTATTAAAGCTCATTTTCTGGATAATTTATTTGTTGAAGATTTCAACCCGAAAATCGGAACATAAAATGCGAACAGTTTCAATACCACATACATACACACATACATACATCGTTCATGTTTTGAAAATTTTTCAAATCTTTAAACAAATTTAATTTGATTTTATTTGTTTTTTTTTATAAAAATTTAATAATGTAAAAAAGTACTTGATATTGTCGTCTGGTTTCATATTTTTAATTTTTTTTTTTTTTGTTGAAGAAATATTGGAACTTAAGATTTTGTTTTTATTTTTGTATAATTTTTGGGAAAATTTTATAACAATTATAGATAATATTATATTTGTCTTCAGCTAATCGTTCTATGCTCTTTTCTTGTATTATATCGGATGAATTTAGTTTTTATGAGATTTACACGTGTAAAAAGATATTATGATTTAGTTCAAATTAACTTTAACTTTAAGCACTTAATGAAATTTTGTGATTATATAATAAGAGCTTTTCGCAATATTTCTCATTACTGAAGAATTTTAACTGAATTAAAAAGATGATATGCAATCAGTTGGAAATTAAAGATCAAAACTCTTTATAAGATATAAACGGAATATAACATAACGGTAATCGTGCCTCAATTATAATTTAACAGTGCTGAAACAGAAATATGTAGGTAATTCCACAAATATAATTATATGTATGTATGTGCCCCCAGAGAAGCAATGAACAACCTCTCCTGAATAACTTTAAATAATATTTAAAAAAATGTCGTAATTGTTGCACATTAATTTATAACACTGCTAAAATTTAAAAAAAATTTATTTATAAAAATTTACAATAATCAATGTTAAAATTGGTTGTGTGCAATAAATACATAAATTAAATAAATCACTTTCAACAAATCAATCTGTTTTTGATTTTTGAAATTAATATAACATATTAAATGGATATTTAGAATGAATTGTTGCATCATCATACTAGTTATACAAAAACATTCCATTCATACAAAATAAGTTTGATAATACAAAACCAATATGTATGTACATTATTATATTTTTATCAAACTTATATTAAACGAATTATACATGTTCCCTTTACAGAATATTTAACGAAAATTTCGACAAATCGTTTTTTAATTTCGCTGTCATGCGTATTGAAGAAAAAAAAGAATTATTTTTAAATGAAAAAATTAAATTTATTCTCCTTTAGAATTGCATTATCCTTATTTTCAAAAAATTTTATTCGTCCGCATAAAAAATATACTTTATTCTGTAATGTTATTGTCCTGTACTTTGGCATTATAAGAAAATGCATATAAATAATATACATGTACATTTCATACATAAACAATGTCATCATAACATAATTTTTTTAATAATACAAAGGATGCACAATACAATAAATATAAATTTAATCATGTTGTCTACAAACATGTGTATTAAATTGTTGCATTTCAAATTTAATACAATTGTAGTAAATATTAAAATTTTTGAATGAAATAAGAAAATAAAACTCCTATATGTATATAAAATGAACAAACTTTTTGAAAGCAAAGAAAATATGACTGAAAACATTGCAATTTTTCATATACCGCCATAATGGTATAGCAAATAGCTATTCAAATAAAATTATGTAATATTATTAACTCTATGTATACTAACATTAGTATATATTAAATTTACAAATGTATGTAAATTTTATATAACATACATATTTAATAAAACCGCTTGTATTGAATAAGAAAAAAAATTTATCAAAATAAAAAAAGGAGCAAGGACATAACATAGAACTTTCAATTATATTTTAAACAGTTTCATATTTTTCTTTTTTTGTTAAGTAAATGAAAAATCAGATGAATTTTTAAAATTATAAAACTGTTCATTTACTTATTTAGTACATATACCACCTGTGGTTTAAATATTAAAATATAAAAGTAGTTCATGGAAACATTGTTATACACAGAAATTACAATTTTTTTTAATCTATTCCCAAAAAAAATATAAATAAATTGTAATATCGTGACATAACAGTAATTGTAAACCTCGCAAAATCAAAATATTACATATATAAATATAATTTTATACCTACTAAACTTTTATAAATTCAGCAAATATCATTTTGTTCTATGATTATTTCTTTACTTATCAGATGGCAATAGGCATATAAATAAAATTCATACACAAAATTGTACATGTATGTATTTAAAAAAAATCTAATAATTAGCTATCTAATTAAATTTCAATACGATAGCCAAAAGCAAAATAAAATAAAAGATTGGATTTGGATTTTTTTTACGTGCTCTTGCAGAAAATTATACTTTAACGCCGACAAAGAAATATTATATACATATACATATGTATGCATATAATTAAAGAATAGAGTTAACCGTTCTTTCACATAAAGTTTCTATTAGATGTACATAACCTAAATATGTACGTAGGTAAGTGTGTATCCTTGGAAAGTTTTTTGGCTATTTAAAACCGTAGTTTACAAGCATTTTTTTTTTCAATTTAATAAATTTTTGTTTTACTGCGTTTTTATCCTTTTAATAGTTGAATAAGCCTTGGGTTCTTTTAATAATTGTATTTCCTTCTTTGTCCTTTTTTTTTACAAAACCAAATTTTTTTCACTTCTCTTACTAAAAATTACTTTTTTTTTGCTTTCTCTTTTCTTTTAAATTTTAAATATCGCTATTTATACAAATATTTAAAACAATTAAAATAACGAATAGCTTCTTAAATTAAAAAAATGTGTAAGATTCAAGTTATGAATTTTACAATCAATTAGATTTAGCCATATTCAATTTGAAAATGAATTTTGAAGCTCATATACAGGCATTTACAAAGTACATAATATAAATGTATATTATGTAGTTAGATAGGTATCTATTAACATTGTAGATTACAGAATAAAGCAATGGTGCACCGCGATCTATAAGACCTATTGTGCTCCGCCACTGCAAGCGCCCAGTGCCTTGTTTTGAGCAAAACCCCGCAACCCATACCAACCAATGCCTACATCCATACATACATACAAATATACTATTTTTTGTCAAGGCAAATGGCAAATTCTGGAATCTTGAATTAATCTTGTATGATGATTGATGACCTAAGGAAAGAAGTTCTTTTAAGTGTAATTATAAATAGATGCCGTACATATTACGTTACATGGATCAGATATACATACGTACATATGTACACATGAAGGGTTTTGATAAATTTATTTACAATATGTATTGCTGAGTAAATTATGGAAACCCTAAACAAAAATTAGTTTCAAGTTTATACGTACTTAAAGTACATACATATACATACATACGTAATAATTAAATGTAAAGCTGTTTTGCGGAAATCTAAAAAGAAATCAATAACTTACCTGAACAGAACGCTACATAGGTATGAGTTTTTTATATTTTCAAAAGCAAAGTTTTGAAACCGTCTTTAAATTGCATTCTCAAATCCAAAATTAAACTCAGAAGCACTGCACTTTTTTTCGTTTTAGGAATTGGAAAAAAATCGAGATACAAATTTTGATTTTTGACATTTCGTTTTAATCTGATCTGGCGCGCTAAGATTACAAACTATATTAACAAGTATTATTACCATTCTGCTTAAAGTTTTCAGCCTATCCCCAATTTTCGATGTTAACGAAAAAAGTCAAAAATTAGCATAATGTCAATTTAAATATTAACAAACGCAGTAGTTATCGTCAAAAATTTACAAATTGCGCCTAGTGCTCAAATCACTTACTTCTTATTCTGACATTCAGTACCTTCTAAATACTTTATATTTTTATCTTCATAATCTCTCTTTAGTATTTTAATTCATTTTCATTTATTTATGACACTTTCTTATAGTTAGTAAAGCCGTTATATATCAGCATTCCAACGATTGCTTCCTTTTGAAGATTATTTTCACATTTCAAACCTGTACTAATTTTCAAATTAAATATTTTGATTTTTAAATTCACATTCTCTAAAATAAGTTTTTTATTCCATACATGTATACTATGCACAAGTAAATTACCAAAAATTTCTTAAGGAATGCTTAAAAAAAATAAAACATTTTCTTTTCTGTAGAAAATAATATTTTGCTGTGACTACTGCGACAATAAAATGTATTGAGACATTTATTTTTTAAACAAATTATCCTTCTCATAAATCTTCTCGTCAGAAAAAAATTAGAAAATAACATAATTAAATTTTAATAAATAACGACCCTATTGTCTACTTTTAAAGAGTTCGATTAAGAAATAATTAATAATCGGTTAGGAAATAAAAAATAATAAGCTTTGTATCCTGAACGTGTTTTTTTTTCACCAAAAAATATTTTTCAATATTTTGACAAGTTGCGTATATTTTAACACATATCTCGACATTGCCAAAAAGTAACTTATATTTATTTTTTAATTAAGCTATTTTAAAACTAACTAATTTATGATTTTAATTTTTGTGTTACGGAGGGAAAATGGAAAAGTTTGTATGAGATCTGAAAAAACGCAAGCGATCATTATTAGCCTATTCACAAAAAGCTTTTTGATCAAGATGGCTCCACAATGAAACGAAAGTCAACCCTTAATGTAAAAGTTGTCGTGTAAACATAGGTACGTAATAAGGTTTATGACAGCTTAATTTTAAATAGACATTGTATTGTCAAAATTCACATTTAACCGTTAATTTCGCAGACTAAATTGGCGTTCGAATATTTTTATAATTTTTATTTCTGAAAATTTTACATTTCAAGTAATTCATTTCGGTAAATATTAAAAAAAACTGAAATTTCTTTGAAAATGATGGAAGGTGAATATTTAGTTGAAAAAATTCAAGGAAGAAGAGTGAGACATGGTATTGTAAGTATTAATTTTATGCGATACGACAAAGTGCACATAGTACTTTGAAAATGCTCTAAAGTAAAATCTTGATCACAAAATTTTTATATGCATATATTAGGAATAACCATTTTTGTATCTAATTTGCGTTTAACCATAATTCTTTCTATTGTGTATTTGCTATGTTGATTTTTCTGACATTTAAGAAATGATAAAAATCTTTCCAGGTTGAGTATTATATAAAATGGGATGGATACAGTAAAGATGAAAATACCTGGGAACCTAGGGAAAATATACATGAAAGTTTGATTGAACAATTTGAAAAATCGCTAATTAGTAAGTTTAATAATATGAATGTACCTAAATTTGTTCAAGTGTTTTCCTTATCCAATTTTATATTAAAGTAATACATACATGATGCACACATGCATACTTATTTTAGAAAAACAAGAAAAAAATAAATATCCGAAATTGAAGAAACTTAATGGTTTTGAAAGAGGGCTGGTACCAGATGAGATAATAGGAGCAACTAATGCTTGTGGGCCTTTATTATTTTTAATGAAATGGAAAAAAACTGATGAAATACATCTAGTTCTAGCAAAAGAAGCAAATATTAAGTGTCCGCAAGTTGTCATTCAGTTTTATGAAAAACACTTAAAATTTTCTTCATAAATTTTATAAGTTTCCTTTTTTATAATTGCATTACTTTTAACTAACACAGTTTAGTTTTTATTAGCAGGCATTTATTTCAACAAGATATGTATATAACTTAAACATTAAAAATACTAATTTTTGTTAAAAAGTTACTGTTTTTACATTATTTTTAATTTACGTAAGCATTTAAATTAAGTAAGCATAATTTACGTACATGTGCTAGTTCCGATATATGTACATAATACGTATGTATTATTTTGCTTTAAAAATTTATTAATTAGTCTAATCATGTAATTAGGAAGTTAAAACACGTATTACTCAAACTTTTTAACCTAATTTTAATATTAAAGATTGAAAAGGTTTACCAATAATTGAATTGATGCTGTAATTTTAAATTTTGCGTATATGTACATACATACTTCTATTTCGAAAAAAATTTCTTTATGTTAGGATCATACATTGTATATCAAATTTATCAATTAAATTTCAATATTGAATAGAGTTTAATTTCAATTGAATTGAATTAAATCTTAAATATTTTGTTTTTTGTTTAATATTATTTGTTATATATCTGCCTATATACTCTCATATGTTTAAGTATACCTACTGAATATTTATAATACGCGAAGAAAATATTTTTAATAAATCAATTTTTTTTTGCATCTATATGATTTTTATATAAAGATTATTATAATATACAAAGATAAAAGAATTAACTAATACCTAATATAATATTACTAAAGTATTCAAATCTAACATTTTGAATGGATTTTTTATTTGGAATTTTTATTTGAATACCTAGTTTAACTAATTTTGTTGGAAATCTACGAAAAAACTGGAAAAATATAAAGACTAATAAAAGTGAAGACAAATTTGTAAATTCTATTCAAACTTGAAATTTTGAACATAAATTCATTTATTAAAAATTACTTCAAAATGAAGTATAAAATTTAATTTCCAGAAATAGTAATTCAGGAATAAAAGTAAATTCAGCAGTAGAAAGTACAAAGTTCGTGTTTGTGTCGTATACGAATCACGTGCTAATTACCTAGATTTTGGTTTCTTGAATTACCTTGATGATTCAATTGACGTGATTTTGGTTTTCTTCTGTAATTAAAGAACTAAAGTTATGTGTATGAATTCCTATACAATGTCAGGAATTTTTATTCTTACTAGGTATAAAACGTACAATCATCTTCTATGGTAAACTTTAAATTTGTTTGAATACTGTGGTTAACCTAATGAAACAAATAGAATAAATGTGGTTTTAAAATATACATATTCTATTTTAAAAAAGAATTTTAATCTAAAATTTTTCTTTTAATATTTTTATGCTTTTACCTGCTTTTATTCAGTAAAAACCGTGACTGATTTCTGAGCGTTAAATTGTTTATTCTCATAAATTTTCGAATTTTTGGATTAAATTATTAATTGAATTTTAACATATTATACAACAGTTTCGTGGGTTTCCTTTCAACTTTTTGTTTACTAGCTATTGAACCCTTCATTCATGAATCTATGTCATCATAAACTTTTTATTGAGATCGTATTGTTGCTTTTTTATAAATAATTTTCATTGCATTCTCATTATATTATAAAACGTTTATAATTGGTTCTTGTTGTAAATATTACGTAAGCAGTTATAATTTTATACCCCAATTACGTACTTTAATTTCACTTTTTATATAAGTCTCTGGTTTACTTTGTAACACTTTATAATTATGATAAAATATATAAAAATTCTTAACATTTATTACTTTTTTTTAAATCATCAATTTAAATACAATAAAATATTAATAATGTTTACTTAGTTTCATTTACACACCATTTCAGTTTTCGACCTATTAAAAAAAATTAAAAGTAGTTTTCGATTTTCCTTACTTTTCTCATTGTCTTTTTTTTAAAAAACGATCTTTTTTGAATTATTTTCTGTCAACAATAAAAGGACATGTAGAGAAAAATTTTACAATAATATAAAAAAAAAGAAAAACAAAAAATTATGATAAACTTCCGTTCAGTTCATCAAATATTTATGAAATTTTTAAGGTTTTTTTTTTATTTGTAAAGAGGTTTTATTTAAACAAATCGACATTTTGAATGTTACGATAGGTATAAAATTGAATGCAAAATTAATACAAAAATGATATTTTTAATAAAATATGGTAGTAATATCCATGTATTAAAATCTGTTAAGTTTGACATTCTTGCAAGTTAAGTTGATTTAAATAAATAGTTGAACCTACTGGTTTAAATTAATTGAATTTACATAGTTCTACAAAGTTACTCTAAAGGTATTACATTTTCGACAATTATTTTTAATTTTTAATAATTCTTGAAAATTGTTATGAGAGTGTTATTATACTAAGTAAAAAAAGAACTATCAATATGAAATCTAAAAATTTTTAGTTTTGTTATCGTATAGTCTGTCTGAACATTCTAAATATAAAGATAAGCAGAGTTCACATACAGGAATATTTTGAAACAAATTACAAATATGACTTTTAATTCAAGTTTATATTATATTTTACAGACACTTTAATGAGCTGTAATGAGTTTACATAAGGTTCTGAAATAATGAAGCAAAAAATATTTCAAAAGAGGAATGAAACCTGTGAAAGAAAAACTTATCATAAGAGTCTTATATTTTCCTTATATTTTGGGAAGCTTTTATTTTATAATTTGATACATATAAGTAAAGACCAAATTGTTGACTGTATTTCTCTTGAGAATATTAGAATTTTGTACAGCTCAACTGCAACAAGTTGAGTTGTACTAAGTTCTACAAAGTTTTGGCTGATCCAATTTTGATTATTTTTGTTTTATTACATATACATATTTTGCATTTGTTAGATAAAAATTTATTCATTTGCATTTTATTTAAATTTATACCGACTGATATTTATGACAAAATATTTAATAGGAATAAAAAAGGAAAACATAAATCAAGTATTTGTTGGTGATATGAAAAATTTATAATTTAAAAATTTATAAAAAAAGCTACCCAATAACACAAAACAAAAATATTAATTCATTAAAAATTACCCGATTGTTACCTTAACTTTCTGTTTTTTTCCGTTTTTTTTTTATTTCATTTGTATTTCAATTTTATTTTTTTTTTTTCAATGTTGTTATAATCCTGGGGAGGTTAAAGGACTCTCAACTAAGACCATAACCAATAAATATCAATTGAACTATCTTTTGTCATTTTTGAAAATAAAAATACAAAAAAAAAAAAAAATAATAATAAAAAATTTATTTTATATGTTCATATTTTCTGTTCATCCGTTTGTTTTCAATAAAAATTTGATTTATGGGTTAAACTTGGTTAAAGCTTTGGTTGGATGAACATGACAAAATGGGTGAATCCTTTGTGTATTTTATGCATAATTTTTCTGTTTTTTAATGTATTGTTTTCTTTATTTTTTTTTTTTTTATTTTTATTTTCATTCTGCCGTACCTTGTACAGCTCTATAAAATACATTGTTGAAAAATTTCAATGTAAGTTGAATGTACAATAAAATATTCAAAAGACCAGGAAACAAAAATTTATTGTCTCCTTTTCAAAAAAAAAAAAAAAAAAAACAAAGGAAAAATCGAAAAAAAGAGAAAAAAGATTCAAACTACAACAATATCCATTCTTATTGGAGTATTTGGAAAACTGGCCTCAGGAACAAAAAGTGATAAAATATTAAAGATTATTTTATTGCATTCAGCAATGTCAGTCAAAAAATATTCAAGAAATGATAGAGCTTTCATTTTATTATAAAAGTTTAATATTCTCCATTCATCTTTTTCTTCTTCTTCTTCTCCGTTTTAATACTATCTCGAAATTATTTGAAATGAAATAAAAAATTTTACACACATATTTACATATAATATATAAGTATGTATAAATCGATTGATTCACAATAAATAAAACCGAGAAATGAAAAAAAAAATATCCTTAATCTATTGGAATTTATTGTAATTAAAAAGAAATTTAACTGTAATATTATTTATGAGAACCTTTTATTTAAAGTAATTTACGTCGTTTTTTTTTTTACAAAAGTAGTTGATTTTAATCCATAAAATCGATTTTTTTTTATAAAAGAACTGTTATTGATTGCATGTCCAGAAATGGTTGATAGAATGAATTTTGTGTGAGTTACAGTCATTAAGAACGTTTTTGGCTATATTGTGTACTTTTTACAATTCAATGATAGTTATATACGCACATACCTAGAGATCATTGTCCTCCTCTTTGTATGCAAATAAACCGTTCAGCGTTATTAGAAATTGCTAAAATCTCGTTCTTTTATTCTGATTCTGAAATTTATTCTTCCTATGCTTTTATTAATTGATTAAGCTGATTTGAATGTGATTGAGGCATAAAAAATTTAACATAATTCTTTCATTTTCTAAAGAAAAGCTTTACAAATTTTGAAAACGTCATTATTTCTATCTCTAATGGTATTTGTATTATCAAATTCAAATTTTAAATTATGAAGAGTGAAAATTTTGGCTGTTCCTGGCCAATTTATTCATATTTCAGTAACGTAAATCGCTATATGCGGCGCATCTAACATAAATCGATTATAATCTTTTGTCTTAAGTATTGGTTTAATTAAAATTTTTTCGAAAAACTTATTATGTATTAAATTTAAAAATTAAAATCAGTTTGTGTTTATATTTACATATTTATTTTTATTCTAATTAAATATTCAAATGTACGTTATACAAATACAATTACAGCCAATATAGGAAGGAATATGAATTCTAGCCAACAACTTTATTTTATAAATTTTTGTACCCTTTCTCATCCGAACATATACTTAAAAATTTAGTAAACATTTTGTGAAATCATACATACATACATATATAAAATAACTAATAAAAAAAAATTTTTATTTTATTGTGCAAACACTTTTCCGTAAATTGTTATTTTAATAAAATCAGAAAATAATGGTATTTTTTAAATACAATTTTATTTTTTTTTCTTCATCTTCTTTTGAAATGCATAAAAAAAACTTAAGTAATAAATTTTCTATGTTAGACAGTGCATTTAACAATATGGAACGTGATTGTAATCTGAAAATAAATAAAGAAATAAATTTAACAAAAAAAAAAAGAAAGAGAAAAACTTAAAAAATTTCAACGTTAAATTTATGCTAGCAAAAGTACTCGAAATATTTCGAATTAAATTAGAAGAATAAGCAATAAGGAATAATTTTAACCTTTACCTTAAAATTCACTTTTAATTTTCAAGAGCTTCTATATACTTTGCCTCAATAATGTGTGAGGGATAGGAGAG